GCTCCATCCTGTAAAAAAAAAAAAACAGGAAATACCGGACATGTGCAAAGTCCGGTATTTCCTATTTCCTTAGGACGGAAGCCTTGCGGGGACCATTTTCCCCTGCTGCGTCTGGTGGGGGCGGGGGATTGAGGAGCATGGCAGAGTCTAGCAAAGGAAGGGAAGGAGGGGGCAGTTGTCAGGCGCCATGCTAGGGGGGGCATCAGGCTGGGGTGGGAGCAGAGCGCATGCTGCTCTGGCCCATGTGAGCAGCAGAGACCAGGAGCTGGCCATGTGATGCCTCCCTCTCTCTATAATATGAGCCGAGGCAGCCAGGCTGGGTGGCAGGAGCAGCCACTTTAAAAGTCAGATTGTTCCTCCATGCCTGCCTCTCCTGGGGGGGGGGGAGAGATTTGATTGGAGTGGGGGCTCCGGATGCTGGGGATGCCCACTGGGGGATGGGGAAGTGCACTGGAATGGGGGGACGCTAGGGGTGTTTGGGTCTGAGGCAGGGGTGAGTGCATGGGGATGGAGAGACTGGGGGGGTCTGGCTCAGGGGAGGCGTGGGTGTTTTGGTGGTTAGTGTGTGGTCCCAAACTGGAGGGAGTGGTGCAACTTTTGCTTAACAACTTGTGCCCCCCCCCCCGCTTTTTTTTTTTTTTTGCTTAACAACATTGATCTCCCCCCTCGCCCCCCAGGAGAAATTTTTTTTCGGCGTAGGGGGTGTTTGGTATTTTTTGTTAAACCATCTGACAACCCTACTCTTGCTCTGACCAGGACTTGGGTCCTAACTGACAAGGAAGCTAGAGGCTTCCTTAAAGCAGATCTGGGGAAGCTCTGGCCAGGCAAGCTCTCAGGCTGCAGGGGCAGAAGCAAGACCTTAGGGTACTAAGGCTGCAGGGAGGCAGCCAGGGTAGGCAAATGCAGCAGGTCCACACCCCTTTGCCAATAATGAGTGGCCATTTCAGACTGCAGTTTGCCCCTGTAGCAGGGGCTAGATGAAGACTGGCAGTGGGTCACTGAGGCAAGGTGGGCATATGGTGATTGGGGGTCTCCAGATGGGGAGGATTCCAGATTATGGGGGCACCATGGTAGGGCAGTACCCAGGTAGGAGGCGCCATGGTCTAGGAGAGACGTGGACCCTGATCTAAGCTATGACTACATTGTCTCTTTTTTGTGGAAGAGGCAATGCAAATGAAGCACTCATTAGCATTTTCTCATGCTTCATTTGCATAATCTCTTCCAACGCTTTTTGTGCTAGAGGTTTTTGCGCAAAAACTAGCAGCGTAGACGGATCCATTTTGTGCAAAAAAAACCCCTTTTGCGCAAGATCCTTATGCCTAAAAAAAGGAGAGTAAGTAACAGTGGGTAAGACAACAGCCAAAAGAGGGTGCTCCAGTACCAAAAAAGCTAATTCCCTGAGTGACCAGCTGGAGGCGCCATTGGCGGTGAGTCCACCTTATTACATAACTAAACAAAATGAGCAAAATGTGTGAGAAATGTAGAATTTAGTAGCAGTTGGAATCTGCTTTGATTTTTCTGCTTTTCTGGAAAACAGCATGAAACCCTTAGTCTAACATATAAAAAGACCAAGGACCCAAAGGCAGTTTGTGTCAAAACCTGTGGAGCTGCAGAACACAACTTTGCTTTTAACTGCAAAATGAAACAGATTATTGGTTTCATAAATCCATAATGTACCTCCATTTCAAAATCCATAAATGTTAATGTTATGCCTTTATAGAACAAATATTAAGGTAATGGGTAAGATTTACATGGTTGTCTAACGGCTGTGTAATGACTTACAGCCAGTATTAGCATTTTTGGTTGAACCTGCACGCTACCTTTCTCCCCACACAAAAAGCACTAGTCACTTGTGAACACACCACTGTGCCAAGGACAGACCCTAGAATTTGGGGGGATAGCTAGAGAGGTTACAATCAAATCTCATTGCTTCTGAAAGTGGAGTCCAGCTGATCCTGCTAGAGTCCATTCATAGCTGCCCATGTTTTCAATTTCCCCTCTTGTCCAAATGAGTCGGAATCTGGAGAAGCTAGCAGTTATATACTTAGTTTGGTTACTTTTAATATTGATTAAAATTTTAATATTGATTAATTTTACAAACTAATTCTGATTGTCTAGTCATCATCATAAATGGTAATTAAGTACAAAAGGAAGCTTTGTTATCCCCCTTTTACAGATGCACAAACTAAAGCAAAAAGTTTGTGATGACAAATCAGCAGATCTCCTGGTTACAAAGAAAACCTTGAAAATGTCAACTGAAAAATGGATGCAATATTGTCTTCCTAAACTGGCTATAACAATAACTCTGACAGGTGTCACTATCTTTGTTGCATATCTCATTATTTCAACTCAAAAACTGAAAAGGAAAATAGATATAATTTTACATCAATAGAAACAACTTTATTGATTACATTATATAACTTCAGATTAATTTAATTAAAATGTCCATTTTTAAATTAAAAAGCTGTTCAACAATTTGCAAATTGTAGCCAAATCCCACAATGTAGCCATAGAACTGAAGTCTAGTATGTTGCGCAATACATAAGAATTTAATCATGACCACAGTCCATAACTTAAATAAAATATATTTTATTTTTCCCAAGTAGAATAAATTACATAATTTGTGTTTGTTGTGTGTGTAAAATGTGTACTCAGCAGCTGGCGAGTAGTGGCTTGTCAAAGAAGTGAAACATATGCACACCATAATTATTAATTTTCTCCTTATAAGGAGTAGCTATTGAAGTCTGATTGGGCAGGATCCAGGACATTTGCAAGGAAGTGGAAATGACCTATGCTATGCTACTCAATTAGTGCCTAAAGAGTAGGTTAAATACTGAACAGCGACAGAAAGATCCATTGAGCTGATGGTAGTCTTCAAACAACTAATTAATTTGGGGGGGTGATGGATGGCACCCTCCCCAAAGGACATGCTGACAGTCTCAGTAAGCTGGGACCCAGTGTGGTCTAGGCTCTCTTCCTAGCCAAGAAAGCCAGGGCTCAGAGTCAAAGAAGATAGCTCAGCATTTCTTCAATACTTCTAGACCTTCATGATGTGCAAATGGGATGAATTCATTGAACAATAGTACTGGATCATGCCTATATCTGCTGTTTGGTTTTGGGTGTTATGATAGTCCATGTTGGTTATGAATATATTTCTTTTGATAAATACAGATGCTAAGAGTTCTTTGCAGAAGAAAGTGCTTGGTTATGAGGCAGAGGTAATCTGGATTCAAAATGATATGTGTGGTCCATTAGGGCATAATCCAGTCATTGCTATGAAGACAAAGAATGGGACTTCTTTATTTCTCCCATGCCAAAGGCATAGGCTTGCAAGAATTCCTTGTGCTGGAGTCTGTTTGTACTTACTCAAATGTTCACCTCTGTTAGTCAAATGTTGTGCTTTTCCTGCCCATAACTTCATGTATCATGGTTTGTTTGAGTACTGTAGTTTTTGGCTACAGTCTATTCTATTTAGTATTCACAATGACTGGTCACCTAAAATAGTGTAATTTTACTCCCCAGTTGTATGCCACACTTTCATTACTAGCAGGAGAAAAATCAAAGATTGCATGATAGAGTTAGACCATTAAAGCATGAACCTTTGCACAAAAATATATATTCTAAAAAGTATTTAAAAAAAACTATTGTTTCATTCCATGAACATTCCTGCAACATAAATCATTTCCAGAAATGTCTGCAGAACATTAATAGAAAGGTCATGAATACCAAAGCAAATTCATAGTTTTCATTTAAAATTATGTTTACTGATAACTGCGTGTAGTGTTTACCAAGTATTAATTAGGAATATCTATTGTAAAGATCATAAACTTTTGAACTCCTTACTGATTGAGACTTCTGGACAGGAGAATATATAATATTTTATTAAGTATATTTCATCTATATGGTTATACATTTCTGTTTGTAACAACCAATCTAAAAAGGATTAAGCAGGATTTGTGATAGTGTTGTAAAGATACAGTTTACAAAAGAAAGAAGATAAAAGGAGGAAATCAATTAATAGAGTAGAGAAAGAGGTAATAATGAACAGGAGTGAGAACAGAAAGAGAAAATGAAAGGAGAAAGAAATGGTAGAAAGAAGTCATAACAATTGAGTTAGTAAATGTAATATATTTATACTCTTATTTTATTGAACTTCCCTGGCAGATACCCTATTTCTCTAAGGTTTATTCTAAGCACTTACATTACTGGAACTCAAGAGTCATAAAGGCATTCAATTCGCTCATTCTCCTGGCTGACATGATGGCAACAATGAAAACCATTTTGAGAGATAAATGATAGAGAACACTTGGCCAAGGGTTCAAAGAATGGTTTCATCAATATGGTCAACATCAAAGTCAGATCCCACAAAGGCACAGGACCTGGGAAATATATATTCGATAAATGTTTCATGGCTCTTTTCTCCAAATAATTAACCAAGAGCAATCTGTCAACAACTGAAGTATGTACATGGATAGGATCACCAAATGAACTTTTAATTTTGATTTAAATAATCCCAAGACTGTAAGTATATTATTTATTCACGAATACCAGGAAATGAATGCAGCTACAGGGAAGTCAGGTTTCCCATTTATCCAAGCCTGAAATCTGATTCACTTTAAATACTAACAGTTTCTGATAGACTGCTTTTAGATTATTATTATTATTATTATTATATACTACACAGACATAGAACATGACTAATGAGAGGCAAATTCAAGTCATCATGCTGGCAGGTGAAGAGATTGCACCAGGAAATGAATGCAGCTACAGGGAAGTCAGGTTTCCCATTTATCCAAGCCTGAAATCTGATTCACTTTAAATACTAACAGTTTCTGATAGACTGCTTTTAGATTATTATTATTATTATTATTATATACTACACAGACATAGAACATGACTAATGAGAGGCAAATTCAAGTCATCATGCTGGCAGGTGAAGAGATTGCA